TAAGCATATAAAGCACAATAAGCTAAACTCTGCTGGATCCACGTTGCTTGAATTCTTAACTTAGTCTTTTTATGGAGTGGAAAATATATCAACTCAGTCTAAGAGTTCACAAATAGTTGCAAATTATTAAGATCCTATACATAGGAATGTCGCCAATGACTAATAGCGCTGCAGTAAATAAGCATCAATGTGGGCTTTCTTAGTAAGGCGTTGAGAATGACATTTGAAAGTGCTTCAGAATAAGAAAGGATATGAAGTGTCAGTTCACTTTTCTGTCTGTTTAAAAATAAAAATGGGAACCCTGTTTGAATTGATTCCCACTTGTACCTTGTGAATAAGGGACATAAACTGAAGCTGGTTTCAATTGTTTTATTTAGTTTGCCATTTCCGCTTGACGATGAAGGTGGACGTGGGGACATGAGTGGTGGTGCCTGTTCTAATAGTCATGAAAACTCTTTTTCGAGGAAAGGGCTAACGGAACAGCAAAAAGAAGGCCTGCAGATGGTCAGGAAACTTATGTTCTCCTTAGACAAAGAAGATGGTCTGGAGGACATCTATACCTTCAGGTAACTTTAAATTCCCTCTGCATCTCTCATTACAGGAAGCTCTGCTTTATTATTATTATTATTATTCATAAGAAAAATGTAGACAGTGTGCCCACGAGGATTTATGTTGTATATAATTTGGGCTGAGAAGTTTCCTGGTACCTTGAGTCTTCCTTTTCTTAGAAGTAATCTTCTTAATTATGAGGAAATTTCCAAGGTGTAATCCCATGGGATGGTTGGCAAAGAGAACCAGGTTTCTGCCAAATACAGTGGTGCCTCACATAACGAGCGCACCGTTTAACGACGAATCCGCATAGCAACACATTTTTTGCGATCGCATTGTGATGTTTAGATAGGCTAAACATCGCATTGCGATGATCGGTAAGCGTTTTGCCCCCCCGCATAGCGATGAATCCAGATAGCAACGTTAATCCTGGAACGGATTAACGTCGCTATGCAGGACACCACTGTATCTAAAAAGCAACAGAGAGAGTGTGATTTGGGAAAGAAAAGAAGTGAACTGGAAGTGAGGGGAGCTTAATATTTATTTATTCGAATTGCCTCTATGTGTAACAGCTAGATTGCATTTTTACTTGTAACGGTTTAGAGAATAAACAGACTGTTGTTGAGTCTTAGTCATGAGTAGGCCCATTTAAGTCAATGGGATTTAAGTTAACTAACTTGAATAACTTGCTAACGTGCGCTGGATTGTGGTGAAAGCCAGAGTTTTCCAGAAAAACATCTACTTCTGCCTCCTTGACTATGCAAAAGCCTTTGACTGTGTGGACCACAACTAACGATGGCAAGTTCTTGAAGAAATGGGAATGCCTGGCCACCTTTTCTATCTCCTGAGAAATCTATATGTGGGGCAGGAAGCAACAGTTAGAACTGGATATGGAACAACTGATTGGTTCAAAATTGGGAAAGAGTACAACAAGGCTGTATATTGTCTCCCTGCTTATTTAACTTATATGCAGAATACATCATG